AAATGCATAATGCCATGTGTCCACCATTACAGTATCATACAGAATATTTTCACTGCTCTAAAAATCCCCTATGGTCCTCTTATTTATCCTTCTGTCCCTCACCCCCAAATCCCTGGCAACCACCCATCTTTTTACTGTCTCTACAGTTTTGTCTTTTCCAAAATGTCACAGTTGGAATCATACAATATGTAGCTTTTTCAGACTGCCTTCTGTTTACCAAGCAACATGCATTTAAATTTCCTCCACGTCTTTTGTGGCTTGGTAGCTCATTTCTTTTCAATCCCTGAATAATATTCCATTATATGGATGTAGTACAGTTTATCCATTCACCTTTTGAAGGCCATCTTGGCTGCTTCCAGTTCTTGGCAATTATGAATAGGGCTGCTATAAACTTGTGTACAGGTTTTTGTGTGGACATAAGTTTTCGACTCATTAGGGAACACGTGTATTAGATCATATGGTTAAAATAATCTTTAACTTTGTGAGAAACTGTCAAACTATTTTCCAAAGCTGCTGTAGCATTTTGTATTCCCACCAACAATAAATGAGAATTCATGCTGCTCCTCATCCTTGCCAGCAACTGGTATTATCAGTTTTTTTTTTAAATTTTAGCCATTGTAATAGGTGTGTAGCGGCATGTCATTGTTTTAATCTGCAATTCCCTAATGATATATAATGCTGAGCATCTTTCCAAATGCTTACTTGCCATCTGTAGATCTTCAGTGAGATGTCTGTTCAGATCTTTTGCTTATTTTTTAAATTGGGTTGTTATTTTCTTATTGTCGAATTTTAAGAGTTCTTCGTACATTTTGGTTACAAGTTCTTTATCAGATATGTATTTTGCAAATATTTTCTCCGAGTCTTTTCACTGTCTTAACAGTTTCTTTTGCAGAGCAGACATTTTTAATTTTAATGAAGTCCAACTTATCATGTTTTCTTTTCATGGATCATGCTCTTCGTGTTGTACCTAAAAACTCACTGCCAAACCCAAGGTCACCTAGATTTTCTATGTTACTGTCTAGAAGTTTTATAGTTATGCATTTTGCACTGAGGTCCATGATCCATTTTGAGTTAATTTTTGTGACAGGTGTGAAGTAAGTGGCTAGAGTCTTTATTTTTGCATGCGGATATTCAGTTGTTCTAGCAGTATTTGTTGAAAGAGCTATCCTTTCTCCACTGAATTGCTTTGCCCCCTTTTCAAAGATCAGTTGATGGTATTTGTGTGGGTCTATTTCTGGGCTCTCTATTCTGTTCCACTGATGTATTTGTCTATTCTTTTTCCAATACCACACTGTCTCGATTATTGTAGCTTAACACTAAGTCATGAAGTCAAGAAGTGTCAGTCCTCTAAATCTGTTCTTCTTCTTTAGTACTGTGTTGTCTACTCTGCGTCTTTAGCCTTTTATATAAACTTTGGAGCCCTGGTGGCACAGTGGTTAAGAGCTTGCCTGCTAACCAAAAGGTCAGCAGTTTGAATCCACCAGCCACTTGCTGGAAACTCTATGGGACAGTTCTATTCTGTCCTATCGGGTTGCTATGAGTCAGAATGAACTTGACGGCAATGGGTTTGGGTTTGGGTTATATAAACTTTAGAATCAGACTTTAGAATCAGTTTCTTGATATTCACAAAATAAAACTTGCTGGGGTTTTTGACTGGGATTTCACTAAATCTATAGATTAAGATGGGAAGAAATGACAACTCAGTAATATTGAGTCTTCCCATCCATGAATATGGAATATTACTCCTTTATTTAGATCTTTGATTTCTTTCCTCAGAGTTCTGTAGTTTTCTCATGTAGATCTTGTACATATTTTGTTAGGTTTATTCCTAAGCACCTTCATTTTTGGGGCACTAATATAAATGGTATTGTATTTTTAATTTCAAATTCCACTTGTTGATTGCTGGAAAAGCAACTGACTTTTGTATATATAACCTTGTATCCTGTGACTCTGCTATAATTGCAGTGCCAAGAGTTTTGTTTGTTGTTGTCGATTCTTTGGTATTCTCTACATAAACAATCATGTCATCTGTGAACAAAGACAGTTGTATTTCTTCCTCCCCCTACTCGTATATCTTTTACTTCCTTTTCTTGTCCTCTTGCATTAACTAGGACTTCCAGTATAATGATGAATAGGAGGGGTGAGAGGGGATATCTTTGCTTTGTTCCTGATTTTAGGGGGAAAACATTTAATTTCTCATCGTTGAGTATGATGTCAGCTGTGAGTTTTTTGTACATGTTCTTTATCAAGTTGAGGACTTCTCTATTCCTACTTTGCAGAGAGTTTTTATTATAAATGAAAACTGTTGAATTTTGTCAATGATTTTTATTTTTTAGTCTGTTGATGCAATAGATTATATTAATTGATTTTTGAATGTTGAACCAGCTTTGCAAACCTGGAAAAAAACTCACTTGGTGGTGATGTGAAATTCTTTTTATACGTTGTTGGATTCAATTTGCTAATACTTTGTTGAGAATTTTTACATCTATGTTCATGAGAGATATTGGTCTGTAAAGCTGTCTTTTTAAAATGCGAACAGGCTGAGAGATCTCAGAGCTATCAGTAATGTACACATTAGTGGTAATTAGTTTATTCAGATTGTTGTTATGAAACAAAGAATTTTACCAACTGCAATGAGGCAAGGCCTTACTGCTGAGAGGGAGAACACGGGACACTTAGTAATCAAAGCAGGCTTTCGCCAGGTGTAGCAGATCAAAAGCATGAAAAGCTGTAATTTAAACTACTTTTAGTTTTGAAGTTGTGAATCAGAAGAGGGAGAAAGAAAGAATCAGCCCAAGAAAAGGAGGGAGAGGATATCTGAATGCCCGAGACTGGCCAAGGATACACACATTATTGTTTCCTTTAACAGATTTTGTGAGATACAATAGCCTTGTCTGAATTTTAACTTAAAGGTAATGTGGTCTAAGCCCCACATTCTACAACTTATGTACTGTCTCCTGAGTCAGGGATAGCATGGCTCTGTGGTGTAAAAGCTTTTCTCTACTTTTTTAAAATAAGATAATTTTAACCTTAAAGTGCCATCTTCATAATTTTTGGCAACTCTAAATACTAATTACATCATTACTTACATAATAAACTTATTTAAATTGACTTTTATTAAAATTAATTTTAAAAGGAAAATTTTATACCTCTACCATTAACAGACACCAAACATAGATGTTACACATTAATATACATTAAATATATCATTCTTAAAATTAAAAATGTTCAACCCTGTACCACCTAAGATCATCTCTTGTACAACCAAGTGGTAAGTGTGTCCCATACTTGTAGAAATACTTATCAAATCTACTCTCTCATTCATTTTACAAGCAATGACACTGAGGACCGGAAAGTAAGCTGATCTAGCCAAGGTCACTGAGCTAATCAGCAGCTGAGCTGGGGCCAATCTTCTCTCCTCTCTTCCATAAAAAAATCAACTCTTCATACCCCTATATTACTGTTCTTTCCACTACAGGAAACTAAAAGAAAAGCAAAAGAGTATCTTATTTATTAGCTTTTTAATCAGCAGTCTCCAAATTGCCTTTGTTTCTTTTTGGCAGGTTGTCTAACTGGCTCAAAACTGAACAGTTCTTCTGCCGGTAGAATGTTATCCTCTGAGTGTTCCCCCACCTAACAGCAATTTTAAAACAGAATATAAAGTACGTTGAGGGATTTTTGATAATTTGATAAATGGTAAGTAGCATTGTATTTTGGGCTTAAAGCTGACAAAAAAAAAAAAAAAAAAGACCACATGATTCACGACGTGGAAGTGTGAAGAATCTTCAGAGACAGTGAGTAACTACAAGGGAAAGGAAAGCTGTGCAGTCTGAAACGTGCTAGATTTTAAGAAAGGAAGTCCTAAAAAGTTTAAAGAAAGCATAAGGGAAAAAGGATATTTTGATGGCTACAGTCTCTGAAAGAAAATCTGGTTTAAGAGGGAAAGTAAGAAAAAATCCACCAGAGAGTGAAAAAAAAAAAAAAAACAGTTGGCAATATCTGAAGATATGAGTAGTTGCACAGGTAGATCAGGTTTTAAAAGACCACCAACAAAAAAGGGAAAGGAGAAGATAACTAAGTAGGACTTCACAGAAGGGGGCCAAAACAGCCCCCACACACCCTCTCCATTCTTCTACTCGTCTCTGTCTACTCATACCCTTCCAGGTCCAGTTCACTTCCTGTTACAGTTTGAATTGTATCTCCCAAAAAGATACGCTGAAGTCCTAATCCCTGGTACCTGTGAACATGACCTTGTTTGGAAATAGGGTCTTTGAAGATGTTATCAGTTAAGATAACACGAGGTCTTACTAGAGCAGGGTGGTCCCAATCCAATATGAGTGGTGTCCTATAAAAGAGGAGAAGAAACACAGATACAGACAGTGGGAAGATGACCATGTGAGGATGGAAGCAGAGACTGGAGTGATGCATCTGTAAGCCAAGGAACACCAACAACTGCCAGCCATCATCAGAAGCTAGTCATGGAACACATTCATCCTCAGAAGGAATCAACATGGCCAACACTCTGATTTTGTACTCTCAGCCTCCAGAACTGTGAAAGAATAAATTTCTGTTCTTATAAGGCATCCAATTGGTGGTACTTTGTTATGGCAGTCGTAGGAAACTAATACACCCCCTTCCCACAAAGCCTTCTTCTCGTATATTGACTCACACTGACCTCTCCTCTTCTGAACTCTGTGTACCTGGCAATTACTCACGGACTTCTTTGCCTCCACAATTCAACTGTAAGGTCTGGGACGGTCCCCAGAGTGCTTATAAGCAGTGCCTCCTGCAAAGGAGATGTTAGTATGTGCTAACTGAGTTAAAGAAGCCAACTAGAAATCAGTGTTTCTAGAGGAAGGGGAGACTGCGATAGCTATAAAGAACAAAGAATTTGAGCACGCACTGTAGGTTGTACCGACACCCAATCCAATCCAAATCAGTTGTGTAACAAGTAGAATCAATAGGCATAGTCACCTGAAATTGCAAAAATGGCACAATACCTGCAGGAGACTTTCTATGGCATGAAAACCTCGAATTAAATTCAGAGCCCCACATAAAAGGCTAAGGATAAATGCCACAATCCCTGACAGAGTTGCAGGTTCCAGTCGCTGATGACCTGGAAAATAAAAGGGTTAGAAATGAACGTCAATATCTCATCTACCTGAATTTATAAAAACAGAGATTCACTGCTCAATTTAAATGGGTCAAACACAGATTCATCTTTAAAAATTAACAATATTTGTTAGTCATTACATATTTAAAAAAATGAAAAACATCTGATTAACACAAAAGCTTCACTTCCTTAAACTCAAACTAAATTAACTCCTTTTTCTCTACATTTTTAACAAAGACCTCTAACTTCTACTAGGGATATACAGTGATAAAGAACACTCACATTTGGCAGTAAATCATGTAGAAAAAACCTTACTGCCTAACTATGTCTACGATTTGCAACTAGATGCAAATATTTGCAAAGGTGACTTTGGCTGGAAATTCACTGCATAATTCCTACTCTTTTTGAAAATGCTTAGAACACATTTTTAAGGACAAATATAACTTTTTTGTAAAGCAAAGCTCTCCCCTATTTAGGCTCCAGGGCTATAAATACTACTGCATATATGCGGGAGCTCACATGAATCTGAACTCCCCAATAGAACAGTCTTAAAGCTATGAAGTTAATGGTCCTCTGAAGACCACTTGAAGGTATAAATGATAAAACACCAGTTGAAGAAGTGATCACTTGATCTTCGCAAACACATTCTCTTATTTTTAAGGGCTTCAGTAGCATAAGCTATTCAGTTCTACAACAGCTTCCCTTCATCACCATCTTGCTCTTAACAGAATTAACAGTGGAGTCTAAATGAAAACACAAGACTAAATACATCATCATCTACATGGCAAAACGGAGACACTGGGAAAGAGAGGACAACAAAGCATATTTAGATCATTTTATTTAAATCACTGAAGTGTAAAAATACTAACAATGAAGTTAATGAGGTGGAACGTTAATATACGGAAGGGCTTACATCTTTGCTACTTATATCAATCATTACAGCAGGAAAGCTTCTCTTCACACTTCATAAAAACACAAAAACCCACAGATCGCACACAAAAAAGTATTTATTCCTCGAGTTCAGCAGAAAATCCTAATATGGGATAACATTTTCTTAAATTTCTCACTGCCTGTCTCTCAATTTCCTTGAGATTTTACTATGAAAATGAAAAACTAAATGTCATTGTAAAGTACTGATATCAAGTTTTATATTAGTAGAGAACAAATCTCACAATTTAAAAATCTATCCCATTAATCTATTAATTAGTCATGTTTTACATTTTCTCTCAGTAGTGAGCAAGGGACAACTGGCTTCTAAAAAAAAAAGGAAATCTTTAATAAGGGCCTCAAGCATAAAACCATGGAAAACAATAGATTATGTAAATCACATTTTAAAAAAATATAAAACAAGTTTACTGTTTAAAAAATCCCAAATAATATTTGGCATTATAACTAAAAAATCTTAGCTTTTTATGGTCAAGTAAAGTATGGCCATTTCTTAAATGGAAAAAATTACCATATTAATGTGCTGATGTCTATCTATTTAAGACATGAATAAAAAGACTATATAAATGAAATATTAAGTTTGTCACACTTGCCTTTGGCCTTAGAGAAGTCTCTTTAGAATAACAGTATACTATTTATAAATTAACCAATTCAAAACGACCAAAAATATTTTCAAAGGCATAAAACCAAATGATAAGCCTACACATGAGCTATGCGCTGTGTGCGGAAGGCCAGGCTGGAGCGGTGTCAGATCACTGTGGGAAGGAAACTCTGAAGTGGAGCTCCCCCAGTCCCATCCTTGCCCCCTCGCCAGGACATGTGGCTCACATTCTGAGAACAGTTATCAAGAGAAAATTCCATCTGCACACAACGCAAGAGGCACTCCTTCGGGACAGGTTCTCATTCTAACAAACTGTACTAGATACAGAAATGCATTTTAATGTATTATGTTATGTATGCTATTTTTTATTTCAGTAAAACAGATTTTAGATGCCTTGGTATCCACAGATGCTGACTGCACACTTGGATGTGGCACCATGCTTGGCATTATTAGGTGTAGCATGCATCTGGAACAGTAACAAAAATGAGAGGCAATGTAGAAAACATTTTTGCCGAAACCAAAGCAGTACCACCTAGCACGTTTTTTTCATTTTCTTCTGCTATAACACCTTTTCTTTAGTCTCCTTGAACCCAATAATGGCATTTTCATAATGAAATTAAATTTTTCTTATAATGAACCAATGATTTATGGAGATGACAAAAGTTCCTAAAGGAGCTGGAGTAAGTCCCTTGGAACCAGAGGGCTGCTGGTTATAGTGAATAAATGCATTCCGCAAATAACTTTTTGCCACAATTCTGGGTAACATGCTATGCTTTAGAAGATACCAAAAAAAATTACACAATCTGCCCTCAGGGCATCTTTGTTCTTTTAAAGGGAGATGGGCAGGCAGACAGATAAACACATGAAAACAACAAGCAGTCTAAACTAAAAGAGGTAAGAATTTCTGAAGAGGAATGATAACTAGGAGGAAGGTGATCTTTAAAATGGACAAAATTTGTTGTTGTTGTTGTTAGCTGCCAATGAGTCAGCCCTGACTCATGACAACCCCACGCACCACATAATCAGACTGTTTTGATTTAGACAGGAGCAAATGGAAAGAACTGCATTCCATGCAGAGAGAACATGAGCATGGAGATGATCTTCTCCTCCTAACGGTGGCTGCTCTCATACTAGGCGTTTTATATACATGAGCTCATTCATCCTTCCAATAACCCTATGCAGTAGGCACTATCATTATTCTGGTTTTTCAAATGAGGAAACAAAGGTTTAGGGAAATTAAGTAATTTGCCACAGTCACAAAGAAAGTAAATGAACTGGGATTTGACTCTAAAATTAATGCTCTTAACCACTCTGCTATTGGGCATTGCTAGTTGTTCTGTTTGGCTCAAAGGGATGTTTGTGAATCTGACATCAGATCAGATCAGATCAGAAAGGGTGGTTGAAGGAAATTAATAGACAGTCCAAAATACTAAGCTAAGAATTTCAGGCAATCAGTCTATGGGGAAACACTGAAAAGGAGGAGGCTCATATGATTAAAGCTATTCTTAAAAAACATTATTAATGGGTTGTTGTCAGGTGTCGTCGAGTCGATTCCGACTCATGTCGACTCCATGTGACAGAGCAGAAATGCCCCATAGGGTTTTCTAGGCTATAATCTTTACAGCAGCAGATCACCAGGTCTTTCTTTTGTAGAGTTGCTGGGTAGGTTCTAACTATCTACTTTTTGGTTAGCAGCCGAGCGTTAACAGTTGCACTACCAGGTAGTGGAGAAATTAAAACTAGAGAGAAATAATATTTTCTGAGTGCCTTCTCACTAGGCACACATTGTCCCATTTATTCTTCAAAACAACTTTATGAAGTAGGAATGACTAACTTCTCTGTGCCTAAATTTTCTCCTCTGCAGATTGAGATTAAATAATTTGCTACAAATCAGACAAAGAGTAAGTGCCATCTTCACAATTAGCACTTGGGGCCATCTGACTTCAAAACCCACGCTCTATCTACAGTTCTACACTACGGAGCTCATGAGGGAGCTACTGAAAAATGCCATTAGGATAGTGACAGTGGTAATGCAAAGGAAGAAAGAGGTGAGACACTATGGAGCTTAAAACTATTAGATTTATAAAAGCAGTGACACAAATAGACATATGCACACTCATGCTCATTGCAGCACTGTTTACAGCAGCAAAAAGATGGACCTATGTGCCTATCAACAGATGAATGGATAAACAAATGTGGTACATACACACAATGGAATACTACACAACAATAAAGATGAATCTGCGAAACCACCGTCCAGCCAAGCAATAGACAAGCCTATAAAATAAGCAATAACACTCAAAACGAATGTGCTCCGTAGAGCAAACAATAATACAAGACCGAAAGGGCAACATTTGCCCAAAAGCAAAGATAAGACAGGAAAGGGTAGGAAAACCGAGGAAAGGAAACGGGGAACCTGGAGTGGAAATGGGGTGTGTGCTGACAGTGTAGGGATTGCAGCCAACGTCATGGAACACTTTGTGTACAACCTGTTGAATGGGAAACTAATTTGCTCTGTTAACTTTCACCTAAAACACAATACTTAAAAAAAAAACCACTCTCAGACTTGGCCACTAATTAGTGTAGGAAACAAAAGGAATGAAAACGAAGAAAAGTATCAGGGTTTTAAGACCGTATGATTGGAAAGATGAGGGTGCTATCAACAGACTCTCAGGAAGAAACTCAAGTTTGATTGAGAATACAAACATTTTAAACATAACAAATTTTAGGCCATGGTAAGGCATGTTTAACATAATATTGAAAATAGTTTCATTTTATTAGTCATTTGTACATCTTTGAAGAAATGTCTATTCAAATCCTTTGCCTATTATTAATTGGGTTGTGTTTTTATTGTTGAGCTGTAAAAGTTCCTTATATATTCTAGATACAATACCCTTATCAGGTATGTGATTTTCAAGTATTTTCTCCCATCGTGAGGGTTATTCTTTTACTTTCTCAATGGTGTCCTTTGACGTACAAAGGTTTTTAATGTTGACACAGCCAAATTTATCTATTTTATTCTTCTGTTGCTGTGCTTAAAAAACCACTGCCAAATCCAAAACCCCTGTTTTCTTCTAACTGTTTTATAGTTTTAGCTCTTAAATGTAGATCTTTGAGCTATTTTTAGTTAATTTTTATATATGGTATTAGGTAGGGGACCGACTTCATTTTTTTGCGTGTGGATATCCAGTTGTCCCAGAACCACCTGTTGAAAAGACTTTTCTTTCCCCCATTGAATTGTCTTGACACTCTTGTTGAAAATCAACTGAACATATGTAAAGATTTATTTCTAGACTCTCAATTCTATTCCATTACTCTATATGTCTGTTCCTATGCTAGAACCACACTGTCTTGATTACTGTAGCTAAGTTGTAAGTTTTGAAATTGGGAATAGTGAGTCTTCCAATTTTTCTTCTTTGTTTTCAAGATCTTTTCGGCTGTTCTCGGTCCCTTGCAA